TTGCTATTACTTAATATTGAATTATTAAATAATATAATTATTATATAAATTTAAAAAATAATTATTGCAAAATATATAAATCTGCAAAAAAAAGGTGTGGCGACTTAATGAAGCAGTCAAGTTGTCACCTCCCAAGTAGCAGATCCAGTGTTCAATTCATACTGGTGACAATTATTGAATACTTAATCTGTTTATCAATGGATATGTCAACTTAATTAGGTATGCCAGCGTAAAACGCTGTAACTAGATCTCATATACTACAAGCTAGAGCACTAATTAGGAAGAACCACCTGCAAATCCTGAGTATGGTATTTATTTAGAAAAGGTTGATAGTTTGGTCTATAAAGAAATGCAAGCTATATAACTGGTGCAAATCCACAATAAGATCATATAATGGTTATTTCTGGATGCAGAGTAGAACTGCATACTGGCACATACAATTACAAATACAAACACATATATACAAACATAAATAAACACTATGAACAATTAAGATCTTCTGTAGGACATTAATGCAGCCACCACCTTACTAAAAGATATATCTGTTGTAGTTAGTAATGGGAATGAGGTATGAAGAGGTAGCAAAATCTTTATATGTGAAGAACCAGATTAGCAACAATCAGACCAAATGTATATAGCAGACTATGGAATCCTTTGCAGCTGTAAAAACCAAGCTTAAAATGATGAGCACACCTACAGAAGAAAGTTTATTCAAATCATCACCAATTTAATCAAACTCTTATGATTTGGATATATGTTACAACAAATTTCTTAATTATTATCAACTACCCTTATTAAGAGAACTACAAACAATCCATACATTTAGAACACACTTACTAGAAAACAATTCCAAGCATCTTGCTTGATATCTTCTAATCACAGTTAATAGTGATAAAACTGAAGCACACGTATATCTACCAGATGATCCTGATATATTACCCAATCACCACATTTTCTCTATTATATAACTCTCTCAACATCCCTTTAAAATCCAAACCTAATATACCAACTAGACTTCTACTTCTTACAATATACAAACTATAATCTTAAATAATATATTTTCACCATTACAAACTATTAGAACTAACAATACATTCTACTATAATACATCATCACATACTCTAATCTGATCTAATCCTAACTCAAACAACAACAGTATGACTAAAGAAATACTCAATATTTCTATAGCTACACACAATATACATGGATATAATGTTAATCTTAAATAACAAGTTTGGGAAGATTATTGTTTCTTTAATAATTTAAGTATTATAAATATAATTGAAACCAAAATCTTCAACATTGATATTGCTAAAAAATTTTACAAATCTCAATACTTTTCATATTACTGGTCTTGTACTGATATCTCCAAAGCTGGTATAGCCATAATGCTAAACAAAAAATTTAACCCTCATATACACAACATTATTACCTTTTCTAGCTATGCTATTGCCATAGACCTTTTCTTAAACATAACTTTAAATTTTGAATTATCTTTATATACTTACTTTGTAACAATTCTCAAACTCATTTACAAGTTCAAAATACTATTATTTAATGGATTCAACAAGTGATAACTGCAGACCTACAACTAATTATAATGAGAAACTTCAATGTAGAAAACAATAATCTACACTCAACTTCAATTAAATACAAATTACTTTAATTCCTTCAATTCAACAATATATATGACCTGTTATCTTATACACAATCCTCTACATATACTTGGCAAAGTACTAGACATAAAAGTTGTATCGACTATATATGGGCTAACCATTCAATCCTTTATTATCTAACTTCTTTCTATACAGATGACTCTAAAACTAGTACTGAAAGTAACCATCAGATTCTAATCTCTTTATGATCATTTTTATATGCATTTATTGGCAAAAAATGAACAGCAACCCGAACTTGCAAACAAGTATTTCTTTATAAGAATATAAATTAGAAACAATGGCAGACATATAAGATCAAGTTACATCTAATCATAAAAAAAACAACACACTACTTGATATCAATACAACAGACATCAGGCAAATAAATTTAATGCAAGTTTGTCAAATTTTTAAGCAAATTTAATGAGTATATACCTTTTTGGTATGGTACAGTATTGGGTATTGGGTATTGGGTAAGGTATGGTACAAAAAATTGGCTGTATCTAAATAAATTTTTTAAGAGAGTACACAAAAAAAATAATAATTACTGTATCAAGTTTTTTTTTGATATTAGGTATACAAAAAAATAAATACTTAATAAAAAAAGTTTACTGTACCCAAATCTAATATTAACAATTGAGTACAGTATATAAAAAAAAATTAAGTAATTTAAAAAAATATACTGTACCCAAGGTTATGTATATACTTTTAAATCTGGTACAAAAAAAGGTTTGTAATAGATTATTATAATTATAATTGAAGTTAATTCTATGTTAATCTCACTTGGGCTTCTAATAAAAGTTGTAAAGAATGTTATTATGATTCTAATAGTAGTAAAAAAAAATACCAATATATATTTTAACTACTTATACTATACCCAAAAAATAATTTTTTTATAATGTACACAAATTATAAATCTAGTATATATTTAAATATAATATTAACTATACCATATCTAGGTAATTAATATTTTATTAGATACAGTTTTTAAATTCATATATACTATATTGTATACTTATTAGGTATACAAAAATTACTAGATATATATAGGTACTTTAGAAATATACTGTACCTTACCCAATACCCAATACTGTACTGTACCAAAGGTATATACTCAAATTTAATATATAAAAATTTGCAGAAATTTGCTAACCTACCAAAAATTTTCAAAATAAAAAAATAAAAATTTGCACAAATTTTTATATTTTAACTATTTGCAAAAATTTTTAATAAAATAATTTTACATATTTAAAACAAAATTTTCAAAAATTTGCAAAATATTTTTTATCTTTCTATTTAGTAGTACTAAGAAAGAGCTAATTATATATATAATGCTTTAAAAAAATTTAAAAAAATTTTTTACAGATTTGTGAAATTTATTTTATTAAAAATTTTTGCAAATAATTAAATTTAGTGCAAATTTGTGCAATTTTTTATTTTTTTTTCTGAAATTTTTAGCAGGTTAGCAAATTTTCACAAATTTTCATATATTAAATTTGCTTAAAAATTTGCACAAATTTGCACTAAATTTATTTTCCTGATGATACCTAAAATTTAAATATTTATATCTTATCAAATATTAAACCAATTTTAATAATTTACCAAGAATATAGTATGAAGTATGAAGTGTATGGTTTACAAGCAACTATCTATGTACAAAATCTTGGATTTAATTAGACAGCATGATCTTGGCATGTAAAATTATTTTGTAAAAATCTACAAGTTTTAATTTGTATTAATCTGGTATATATATATTACTCTAAATAGACTTAAAGGTTGTTAATCTGAGAAATCAGAATATTTTAAATTATACAAAATTCTATTACTATTGAATTTTATAATAATATTTATGCTAATGCTAATATAACTTTTTTCAATAATTAATTTAGAATGAGCTTGTGCTGTACATCTCTAATCACTCCTAAAATATACAGGTTATCATTATGCTTTATTACTATTGACAATCATAGATTCAGCTCAACAGAAATATTATACTATAGTCTGTTCTAAACTAATAAACTATAGTTAGCTCTAAAACTGGTTTGAATTGCTTTTAGTTTTAAGACCAGACCAGCTAGAACTAGCCCAAATCAGTTAATTCTTTAAGACTTTAAACTATTAAAGTGAACTAAAACTGGAACTTGCAGAACTATTAGAATCTTTATGATCTGGTCTCTGATAAGACCAGTTAGTATTATGCAAAATTAAATTAAAATTTGAATTTGAATCAAATATTTGATTCAAAATTTGATTTTACAAAATACTATTCATGATTTCAGAATTTTGATCAGACTAATGCTCTCAAAAGTAAATATTCACAATTCATAGTAGCTAGTTCATGATTTTAATAATAGATGTGTTGATGATTTCAACAGTGTGAACTCATAATTTAAATAGTGTAATACATATTGTATATTTACAGTTTTAGTGATGGATAAATTTTTAATTCAACAGTGAATGTGTTTACAATTTTGATAATAAGTAGGCAGTAATTTCAACAAAAGATGGTTCATGATTTTAACAATAAATTTGTTCAGAATTTTAACAATAGGTTAATGATTTCAAATGAGTAGGTTTATGGTATTTAACATATAATACAGTACTTATATTTGTTATTTATTATACTACAAAAGGTTTACTAAAATTTTATACTTCATAAGCATAACTTTTTATCATTAATATTTGCTATTACACTATACTTATTATTTTAATTCAATTTGACCAGTGCAAAATAGTGAAAATGGATGTTATTTGAATTTTGGCTTGAATAAGCTTAGTTTGACCAAATTTACTAATTTTGCCTTTAAGAGTTATTTCAAAATCTTCAGTATCAATTTTTATTTTTAATTACTAAAAAGAGGTGGCACCAAGTGCTATCTAACGTACTAGTATCTTATAAATTTAATCTGTTATTTTTCAGTTATTAGGATCAGTCTGGAAAAGCCGCCTGTGCTGTATAAACAATTTTTTTGGTTCACTCATAAATTTACGTTCCTGGTTTCGCGTGACAGCGTCGCGCAGCTACGTACCTTATTTATATAATCAGATTTTAAGACGTAGGCAAGTTATGATCCGTAAATTGCCGCAAAAAGCACCATTGTTTATATCACATATCACATTTAAATATTATTAAAAAATTGATCTGCATTATTTGTCACACGGTAATAGTAATGAAAGATATTCTCAGATCATTTAATAGATTAATTAATTATCAATTTATAAAGTTTAAATTTTAAATGATTCTTTTATAATAATATTATTACTGTATGCTAGATGAAGTTTAAATATTATAATCCTTTTCTAGAAACATGAATAATAATTCTTTTCTAGAAACATGAATAATAATTATGTGCTATTTGTAAATAAACGGTATGGACAAAACTTACAAAGAAAATCATTCTTTTGGTCATCACGATGACAGTCATAAAGCATTGTTACACCGATCGTAATAGGAGTTCCAGGCGGTGGAAAATTGACAGGGCTGTAATGCATAGTCAACGAAAATGGATTTACCCCTTCCCATGAAGTAGCATTGCCATCAGGATCATACTGAGAACTAGAATATCCATTTACCCAGCTTTGTGCACGACGGAATACATAATAGGCTTCTGTATCATTTGCCTCTGGACCATT